CATGCTAACATGACCTTCTGGAGCAGTGCAGAGTTTCGCATTGTCCCTTCCCACTGATGAAACAGACCTCTCTGTATAATTGAACCAGTAGCCTGTGCCCTCTAATCAGCAGAGGGCCGTGCACACAAGACTTTCTGCAAAGCCTCCGGAGGCAGGAGGATTCATCTTTCTCTCTTGGGGGTAAAAACCAACGGCCAAATGCTAGCATTTCAAGGGGACACCCTTGCAAATGGGATTGAATGTGAACGTGCAGACCACAATCAGATCTCCAAGAGGGCACAAGTGAAACATTTTAACTTCTGCTCTTTTTATTTTATTTTTTTTAATGTGTATTGATTTTTGAGAGAGAGAGAGAGAGAGCATGGCTGAGCGGCTGGGGGAGGGGCAGAAAAAAGGAGAAAAGGGATCTGAAGCCGGCTCTGAGCTGTAAGCACAGAGCCCGATGCAGGGTTCCAACTCATGACCACGAGATCATGACCCGAGCCAAAATCGAGAGTCGGCTGCTTAACCAGCTGAGCCACTCTGGTGCCCCTGACTTACTTTCTTTTTAAAATGAACACTGGTTTTTTGGCATGAGAGAGGAAAACATTAGTTATTTGAGTGAAGCACTTGATATCGGTTGCTTCTTTTTCTTCTTTTTTTTAACATTTATTTATTTTTGAGACAGAGCATGAACAGGGGAGGGTCAGAGAGAGGGAGACACAGAATTTGACTCGAACCCACGGACCACGAGATCATGACCTGAGCCAAAGTCGGCCGCTTAACCGACTGAGCCACCCAGGCGCCCCTGCTTCTCTTTCTTATGAGAAGCCAACGCGAGTGGGTGTTACTTCCATGGGAGGCCAGGGCTTGGATGGCAAGCAGTTAACCTGCGGGTGTAGCTAATTAAGTAGTGGAAGAAAGGTCCAAACTCACTGCTTCCTTCTCATTGCACAGCTGGTATTCACTCAGCCTTTCATTAAGTGAATCCTTTTATTCATTGAGGACTTACTCCTCATTGAGGAGGACTTACTCAACATTGAGGATTTTTTCGGTGGGGGGAGCAATTTCTTTTTCCCTCAACTTAGTTTTCTCCTCCCCCCCACTACTGTTTCTGATTCCTTGAGCCAATATCAAGGTTTAGCACACAGTAGGATTTCAACAGGGGCTTACTGCTTAGAAAAATTTCAGATGGAATATCTCTAAGACTTGTAAGCATTTAGGTTTGTCATATGTGAATTTCTTTTACTTTTCTAATTCGAATTTTAGTTTACACACAGTGCAATACTGGTTTCAGGAGTAGAATTCTATGATTGCATGCAACACCCAGTGCTCATCCCAACAGTGTCCTCCTTAGTATCCTTCCCCCATCTATACCATCTCCTACCCACTTCCCTCCATCAGCCCTCAGTTGGTTCTCTTTTTGTTAATGTTAATTTATTTTTGAGAGAGAGAGTAAGAGACAGAGAGAGAGGGAGGCAGAGAGAAAGGGAGACAGAGGACCCAAAGTGGTCTCTGTGCTCATAGCAGAGGGCCTGATGCGGGACTCAAACTCAGGAACCATGAGATCATGACCTGAGCTAAAGTCGGATGCTCAATGAACTGAGCCACCCAGGCACCCCTGTTCTCTATCTTTAAGAGTCTCTTGTGGTGGAATTTAGGAAACAAAACAGATGAACATACAGGAAGGGGGAAGAAAAGAGATAAGGAAACCACAGGAGAACCCTAGGTGAGTTTCAACACAAACCACTTAGGAGGTGATGGGGGTAAGGTATCAAAATGATTTTTACTTGTCTGTCAAGACCAGAGTTGTCCTGCCACCCCAGGGGGCTTCCTCCTTTAGGCCACAAAGCATCTGTTCTGTCATGCACAGGGAGGCCTAATATTCCCTGGTAAGAGTAGCTTTGATTTTCATTTCTTTCATGGGAGGAGTGGGAAGGGGGAGTTGGAGAGGGTGAGGCCTTTGCTTCTTCTGATGAGACACTAACTGTACTTCTAAGTGTGGCAAGGAAGGTGACATTTTCCATCCTTTGAGGACGTTTTCCAGAAAGGGGCGACTAAGCCAACTTCAGTGATTGAGTTGCAAAAAAGGAGAAAGACGTGAGGAAAAGCTTTTTTTTGTTTGAAGTTCTGTAGGAAAAAAGGAAAGGCTTACGACAGTTATTTCAAAAAATAAACTTTTATTTAAGTTACATGTACAGTTTATTAATAAAAGAAAGATGTTTATCTACAGGTCAGCAGGACTGGATGTGTTCCCAACATGAGACTCTAGGAGTTGAGGATCCTGAGCGTTAGAACGTCGTCATACGCTCTGGACTTCTGAGGCATTACATGCTCTTAAATCGCATCTTGGTATCGAGTGACATTTTATTTATTTATTTATTTTTATTTATTTTTTTCAACGTTTATTTATTTTTGGGACAGAGAGAGACAGAGCATGAACGGGCGAGGGGCAGAGAGAGAGGGAGACACAGAATCGGAAACAGGCTCCAGGCTCTGAGCCGTCAGCCCAGAGCCCGACGCGGGGCTCGAACTCCTGGACCGCGAGATCGTGACCCGGCCGAAGTCAGACGCTTAACCGACTGCGCCACCCAGGCGCCCCCTCGAGTGACATTTTAGAAGGGGCAAGACCGTTTTTTCAAAGCCAGTCATTTTATTTTTTCCCCCAAAGAATTCTTTCCCCCCAGTGCGTGTGTATAAACTGAGATCAAACCCAGGTGTCAGGGGTGGACTCCAGAATACCTAAGACCCATCAGCCGGTTGAGTTGACCCAAGTTATTGTCCTTCCTCTCTGCTTGGGCGTGTCTTTCCTTAGGAGAACCTTATGGTGTGTGATAGGGGGTAGTACAGCTTGTTGGCTCCAGTATGTGTCAACACAGGAGCGGTGTTGCATGCCCAGCGCTTCCTTCGGAGAATGTTTACGTCTCGCGTTGCAATCCGGTAACCTGCTGCTGCTTGATACAGACGAACAAGGAAAATAACGCTAGGCCTTCTGGCATCTTGGCTCACAGCACGTAACTGACAATATTCTTCTGTGCTGACCTGAGGGACCGCTAGCTTCCCACATCCAGCATGCCCCCATCCTGGACGCCAGCCGCGAAGGGCATCTGAGACACCTAGGAAACTGCTCAAGGACCCCTGACATCGGTAGCGAAGGGGACTCCGCAACCATGCGGAGTGACAGCCATCTTAACCTTAACACAGCTCTGCCTCCTTTTCTGAGAGGGGAATGGCGGTAAGCACGTAGAGTTCAGAATCTGCTGTTATCAGTGGCCCCAGTTTTCCCATCTGTAAAATGCAGACGTTGACCTACCCAGGTCCCATAAAAATCACATAAAATACATAAAGATCACATAAAATACATGCTAGCAGCGATCTAGCATATTCTTAAGCATACGGTAGGAAGCGAAGGGAGAGTCAAAGTGTGTGAGCTGCCATCCAAACACTGTGCCGGCCACCAAAAACTCGTTTCTGTGTCCCGGGCAGTAAAGCCAAAAGGTCGAGGCAGAGATACACCAGCTCTGTTTGTAGGATTCAAATCACGTAAGCCTGGAAGACTTTGTAACTGTATAAAGGTGATACCACCACCCGAATTTCCCACCTCGATCTCATCAGACAAGTGTCTTGGGAAACAGTTGGGACAAGGTCTCATGCATGTTAGGCTCAGTAATGAGTCAAGTTACTGTCACTCTCACCGGTAAAGTCACTTAGCACTTTCGAGATGGTGCCACAACAAATAAATGGAGGCGTAGCATCGAGAGCGATCTCCAGCGGGAACGCTCGCCTTACACCCGCTACGTGCCAGGCACTGTGCTGAGCCCTTCTGTGGACTCTCACTTAACCCTCACCGTGGCACAGCAACACAGTCCGCACCACGTCCACCTCGAGAAGGGCTTAGCAGATTGCCCAAATGACCACATCAAGACCGACACCACAGTCAGTGCTTGTGAACCTCCTTGCTGCCAATCTGTGACTTTCTCCTTAAGCAAAGTGAAGAAGCAAACTCTAGATGCTCTGCTCCCCTGCAGAGCCCACGACCCACCTACAGCCTATCTTAGGCTTCCTTCTGAGATCATCGCTAGTAGGTTTACAGGGAGACTCTCAGTCGGTGGTCCCCCTTGGTTCCTGTTTCTTGAATAAGCCAGGCTCAGAAGTGCTCAACGGATTTGGGGGACACAGTAGAGATGAGACACTCCTGTCATCTGTTCTTTAATAGCTTATCTGCAGACCCCCCCAAGATTCACGCATAGGACCTCGCTGCTAACTCGTGTTCAGCTTTTGATCTGTGAAAGCAGACAAGGACGATGTACATAGAAGGCTTACTCCCCCTCACATGAAACCGTTTTGACTTGGAAAAGTTCCATGCTTGACTTGAGAGAAGTCAGTCCCCAAAATGCCATTGTAGAATCTTGAGATTCATGTCTCCTATATTTGGAAACAAGGTATCTTTGGAGACTATTTCTACTTCTACATATTCCTGAACCTCCACAGTTTAGGTCCATGATGTGGCTGAAACATTGATCATATAATTTCCAGTTTTTCCAAAGAGTCAGGCTGGTTGCTTAATTGTGAAACCGTGGAGCTCAAACTCCATGATCAGGACGAGCAGGTTGTGTTCTACATTCTCGAACCTAAGTTATCACAGCAAAAGTGAATAAGCCATTTGCAAGTTTCCCTCCCACTAAAATCAGGGATTCTAGCTTCCATTTGGGTTCAAAAGAATAAACCTCTTCACTAGGTAAGAATTTTAGAAAATTCCTCTAGTTAGACTAATGAGATGGAACATTCCACTAGCATCTTTTGCTTTGGGGGGTGAGGAGAGTTAAAAGGTATACTTCAGCGAGGTCTCCCATTTCTAAGCATTAAACTGAAGAGTTAGTCCTTTTCAATGCCCTATAGTTTTGCTATTTAAAGCCCGTCTTCTCATTTTTTGAGAAGGAAGGGCTATCTGACTTCCAAAGATACAAGGAACAGAAGTAAGTGCCAAAGTCGAAGTCTCTCTCTTTTTTTTTTTTTTTTTGGCCTTGTGTTCATCAAGAATAGAACACTGGAGGCTTGAAGATGATGCCATGGCTTTAAAATAGCTGTAAGAATGTCTTAAGGGGGTTGTTTGAACAACTGGGGGTACTTGCTTGCCAAACAGACAGCTTGCAAAGGCCACTTAAAAATTTGGACTCAGGGACGTGGCTGGATTTCTTTACCAGGGGCCACAAATGTATTTACTCATTGTTTACCAGTCTTTGCAGCAAGTCCTAAAGTCTCCGGAGGACCCACTTTCAGTGACTGTGTACGACTCACTTGATTCCAAGCATCTTCCTTCATTGTTTGATAAGTTTCATATTTTACCTCTTAGCTAATTCTCGCCTTGTCTAGTAAACTCTGTGGACATAGCAAACTTAGGCCAATATGTTTCATGTAGGATTCTTATAGCTCTTATTTGGATACTGAAGCCCAAGGCTCTAGTTCTTCATAAAGTGTCATTACATGCTGAATTGACCAGCCATATTAACTATTCTTAATACGTAGTTACTTCATATCTTCAGCACTTGAGTTAGAGTTTCTGTCCTTGGCTACTTACAGGGGGTAGGGCAAGGTAAAAGATGGAGGTTGGAGACTCTTAGAAGGTTGGAGACTGGGACCTTGAACCTAAAAGAATACAGGTGGGACTGGAATGTAAGAGGAGATGATGGAGAATAATGCTTGATTTTATTCTTAAAAACTATGGCTTTGGGCCTTAAAGTTGACCTCGTAATGGGGGAAAACACTGGTATCTTCAAGCTTCCCAGGAGGGAACTTTGTGTTGCTCCAATTAAAAAAAATAAATCAGTGGGTTTTGTAGCATAGGGTCAAAGTACCAGACAACCAAAGGGCCTTCAGAGTTCAGATACGATGAATGCTAACCTACTTATCACATGGGCACTTCAGATACCCTATGTCGGCAGGCCACATCCTGTTTAGTGTAGTGACTATTTGAAGAGGAAGTAACAGGTGGACAGTTGAAGAATCCTGCCTTCACGGCTACAGCCTCTTCCTTCTATATTCCGGAATTGCACACCCCCCAACAAAAGCCCATGCCTTTCACCTTGATCCATCTGACCAAAATCACAACAGGTATCTATTAAACAATATGGCAGAAGCAACTTCATCTTGGATTGTTGATCTCTGCCTAAGCCACAACCGAGGTGTCAACTGCCTTACTTATATTCCACGGGCAAGTGGAATGGGAGTCACCCACCGATCTGTCATCCACTTATCTCAAAATACCTCTTCATCCTCTTGCTCCCGCATTGGTCATTTAATCCCAAAAGGAATCCTGCCTTCTGCAGCAGACTCCGCACCTCATTTTGGAATTAGAGCATCTTCCCAGGAATTCACGCCTCCTATCTTCCCTTGCTTGCCCACATCCTGAGACTTGAGAGAAACGAGGCAATGGCCAACCTGATGGAAAACTTATTAAAGCCCCGTGCTACTTTTTCTTCTACCCAAATTCCCTATCTGCCCTTCATACTAAAAATGTCAGACATTTTCCATAGAAGGAATCCATGCCAGCCAGATTGAAAAATTAGAAGGTACTGCAGGTTATCCATGAAGTCACATTGGAACAGTGGTTTTTCAAATGTTAGCTTACATCAGAATCACCTGAAGGGCTTGCGGAAACATATTCCTGGACCCCACCCCCAGAGTTTCTCATTCGGCAGGTCTGGGAAGGGACCTGAGAATTTGCATTTTTAACAAGTTCTCAGAGGATGGACATGTTAACCCCACTGAGAACCACTACCTTAGAGTTCAAGAATGGCACTGAATGTTACCTCTCCAGCCCTCTTCGTGGAAGACTGTGTACACGTATAAAAGCAGAACATACTTAGCTCAAGGACAAGAAGCACTCATCCTGGAGCTACATATAATGATAGGACACGGAAAACAGAGACTTAAGCATGAAGAAGCAGAATTGGCAGAAATCTTAGCACAGGTTTCTAGATCAGGGAACAAATGAATGAGAAAAGGAACTTTCCCCTGAACAAGAGGAATTCTAGGTATAGGCTAAGTCAGCTTCTTTTACAAAATAAATAATTGGGGAACAAATATTAAGTGGTACCTTGTTCTCTTGGTACTTGGTTGTAAGAGAAAGTAGCCAAATTACAGGCTTAGTTATGCAACATCAAGGTCTGTATCACGTCGCTCCTATAGTTCATTAGAACGCTTGATTCTACTCAGGCTGTTTATAGAAGTTTATCCTAGAGGAATAGGCACAAACCGTGGGGAAGCTGCTTGGTTTAATTGTTTTAGCACTTGAAAAAAAAATGTACAGTAGTTTGAACACTCAGTCTTTGCAAGCCTCCACTGAGGTCCAAGGTTTCATTCATACGTACAAAATTAGTTTACAAATTTTTTGGCAATTTCATCTTAGTAACCCGTTTTATCCTATTGCCATTGTCCCAACCGTCGAAAAAGTTTACAATAATTTACATAGAAATATTTTCAAAGTGCTTAAGAATAGTGATTGTTTTCTGGGATATTTACAGATGGCCTATACAATGTATGTACAGGTGGTCTACACTATAGCACAAGTGTCATTGCTGGAATATGGCTTTCTAGGGAAAGTGCATATTTGGCCAGATGTGGCAATACTGTCTAGAAGTTCAAGGGTTAGATACTTGGTAACCACATCCAAAGCTGAAGTAGAATGTGGGCAGGGATATTTACAAAAGTCATATAAAAACGGTCAAGTAGACAAGCTTGATCCATGTAAAGATATCTTGATGTTCTTCCAGACTGGAGGAAGAAAGACTTCAGGCGTTGGCTCGGTTACCATTCCGAAGTGGGGGGAGGCTATTGGTCTAGACCTCAAAGGTCAAGACTCGTCTCAGAAGTCAAGCTAGATCATCATCTGTGCTTACAACTGATATCTGTGAAAGAGAAAGAGTACAAAATGAGCTTGGTGGTCACTCACTGGTAGTAACTCCAGTCTCTGAAATGAAGGACCTTGCTTTTGGGCTGGTCATTCAGAGACCAAAGGGGCATCCAAGGAAGTCAGATCTCAAAAAAGTATTGAGTTGTGTCCTTGATGCATTTTAACTTGAATCCATTGGTATCTACTTGGTAGACAGAGAAAACAGTGGAACTGATGCTGCCATTCTACTTAATGATCTTAAGTAGAATAGGGAAAAGACACATGTGTGCCATCAATTGACCACCATTCTTTGTTTTGCCCAAGAGCTTGAGAGAGGGAGTGCTGAGTACTTGTTCGGTTCACACTCTTCCCTAAGGGAAGGCCAAATACTCCAGTTGCGTTTCAACTGAAGAACAAGCAGCTGACTCTGCTGCTGAAAGGAAGCTAGCTATAGTAGGTGGGATAGGCCACTTCCAAGCATTTGGTATTGATGGCTAAACGAATCTCGCTTAATACACTGACTTTAAGCCAACTCCCCTATATAGGATGTGCTAATTTTTAAGCGTCCAGTAGACAGCGGCCTTAACAGTTCAAGTAGGAGCCACTTGGTTCATATAAGTTGGTACATACATTTTCCATAACCAAGAAATATCTCCAATAGTACAGTGATGACCTTAGATCGACTTACTTGCTCTATATGGGGCAGATGCTTAGCAACTGTTCTAACAGGCTAGACTGTCTACTCTCCGGGCGGTAGATGTATTTGGTGGCTCTGTGATCCCAATGGCTCTTTCCAGCCCAAGCAACCATAGCTTGAGTCAGCCGTCTCCTTTCCAGAAAGTCCTACAGCAAGCCATGGTGTATCAAGACACAAAGCTGACTTACTGCTGGGTACGTGTGTCCAACAGAAGCACTGTGTCTGCCAATGTCTATTGACAAGTCCTCTTCGGTAGTCTTCAAGTACACAGGATTGTCAAAGTTCATGCTTTTCATGTTCTTGTGCTGCCAATTCCGCCACATCAAATAGCCACCCACCGCTGCCATTGCCAAGAGCACTGAAAAAAGTGAGAAGGTGACTAGGCAGCCTCTAGTCTCAAAACGTCCAAAAAAAAGGGTCATGTTCAGGGATCGGTGATAGGTGACATGAGTACAAATTTTAGGTTTTAGGAAGTTGGCATGGCTAAATGGTGGAAGATAAATGGGTCAGGAGCTTGAGACAAGTTCAGACCAGCGGGTAAGTGTCACTCTGTGGACTGGTGCTAAGTTCCACACAGCCATGTGGGCGAGTGTGGAGTCCTGGGCCCCTTCCTGGGCCAATTGAATTAAAATTGCACAAGTTTCTGGAGGGCTTTCCAAGTGTTCCCCGAGGCGTGTTAGCTAGGCTTAGAATCCAGTATTTGAGGACAAAGTGACCCTTTTAGCCCAGTGCTTTAGAATCCTCATGCCCAAAAATTGCTCTAAAAGTTCTTTCCCCGGAGTTTAATAATTCTTAACCATTTTTAATTTACCCTGTACAAGTCCTCCAACTCCTCAGGAAGGCATTAAAGTATCTGTATGTCTCCCCTGTGTGACGCATCATATACATTTCAAAGAGGGGAATAGACCTGTGTTCTTTACCTAAAGGGACGTGTTGTGAAAGGGGAAGAGCCAGACTAACAACTGTGAAGTAGAGAGCAATCAGCACCATTCATGGAATAGCTGAGAATTTACCACTGCGAGTCACTGTGCTAAGTATACCATCGAAGAGAAAGGTATGGACTCCGTGTGCCATGCTGGGGACAGAGTGAATGTGGTCAATGTTACGAGTACTGTGACCATGGGAGAGGGGTCTCTCTCTAGACGGATGAGAAATGTCCATCTGGTGGGTGGTGAACAAATTCATCAGACCCAGATACGTAGGGAATGTACTTACAGAGAGGAAGGATGGCCCAGGCAGCAGAAGTGCCTTTCGGAGGAACAGTGACCTCCGTTACCGCTGTGGTCACATTGATCCCTACAGGAGAAGAAAAGGAATCGGTTTAGATGGACCTGAATTCAGACTTAGAAATGTATCCGTCTGGCGGAGCACCTCATACCCGGTGCTCGTTACTGATGTTTAGTATCTACTGCTGTGTATACCAGGAGCAACTGGTCTACAAGTATTTGAGAGGCACGGGCTAGAACAGCTATTTCACTAACAGTTTGCTAATAGAAATCTTAATAAGTCAGAACAGGCTAAGAATTGCAGGCTCTAAGTCTTTGGAGTTCAAATGCATGTTACCAATCAGGGGCAGAATGAGTAGTTACAGGCTGCATTAATTACATAAGCAATAAATACAGGGAGTGTGGCTGTTAGTTGAGATTCACAGTTGGCAGTACTGGCCCAGTACCTCCAGGAGCTAGTCCACTAGTTGGCGAACTTTCTATTGTGTTGAAACCCTTTGTCTCTCTGTAAGTCACAGTAGTTGCAGTACCTGAATTACAAAGACCAAGAACCTGGTTAATGCCAAGGTTCCAGAGTGGCTAGCTGTTTCGTCCAGATAAATCCTGAGAATGGTTACTTAACACCACGGGAGACAGACAAATCACTGCTGAGCTAAAGTTGCATGGCCAAGGCTGAAAGAAAGTCTTCATGCAAAACCAAAGACACGTAAGACTTGGGACAGAACAGTCAGCATTTGGAATCTGACAATTCAAGAAGATGCACAGCCACACTTACCCCTGTCAGCACCATCCTGGAAGTTACAAGAAACGCTCTCAAAACCAGATTAGCAAACGTACTATTCTTACTGTCAGATTGCCTTGCAATGACTTTCTTAGTAAACTGACCTAATCTCTGCAGGGACTCCTTAGTGAGCTAATAAAAGCCTCACACTGCAAATTCCTTGCTCACAAGAAGTGACTTTAATTTGCCACGTAATGAAAAGCTAAGGACAAAAGATGAAAGTCAAGTTTAAATGTGAGTAGGAGATGGCATCGCCCACTGGGGCCGTAGGGGTTCCTGTAATGATGGCCTCTTGGGAGGAAAATGTTAAGACTCGGTTTAGTTATCTGCGAGTTGGCTAGCTCAGTGCTGTTACGGGCCTCACTGGTACAAATCAGTATAGTCGCAATCAGTCTTGAGTCAGCTACAGACTCGCCTGATGCTGACGTGAGTTAGAAGTCAGTTCTGAAGTACAGACATGAAACCCTGGCGTGCAAGTAGCAGATACATTCCCAAATCTATTCCAAGAATCAGAACAGAATTCTTTAAAAATCCAGGCTGGTTTTATGGCTAGCGTCTTATTCTGTTGCCTACTGTTGTGTCCCGTTGGTGGTTGTAAAGGAAAAAGCCTTACTGTGGCACTCCCGGCCGTTTTCCTCTAGATTGTACCCATTGGGACAGGAACAGGTATACTTTGGAGAGTGATCGTTAATTTGTGGTGCTGGCAGGCACAGGTATTCACATCCTCCATTCTCCATGTCTTCTTCACACCAATTTTTACCTATTGAGAAATAAAAGTCCTTTAAAATAGGTATTCTGGTGCCTACTATACATGGAGCCCTGTTCTAGATGCTGAAGACATGAGCCCTTGTCCCCAAGGAGATGAAACTTGTCTATCTGTCAAACCTTGGAGCTCAACCAGTACAGTGAAGAAAAAATATAAGGGTACAGGAAGCATGCTCTAAGGATACCACAGATCCAAAGAAACTTGTGGGAAGTCGCATAAGGATTATGCCTTGAACAGGTGGGTGGTGAGGGAGCAGGCGGGGGAAGGAGGTACCCACTACTGGTCCAAAGCTTAGAGTGAAGACTCAAGGGAAGGAGATTAGCATGTTCTCCTTCGTCTTTGCTTTGCCTTGCTCCCACAAAGTGGAAGGAACCCAGCTACAGGGAGGTTTAAGGCTTTCTGTTACATAGAACCAGTCAAGTATTTTGAGCAGGAGATAGTATGAACAGATGTGGTTGAGGATCTTCATAGACGATGTGTCATGATGGGGAGGCAGAGAAAGTTTCTGGCATAAAGCTACTTTTGATGATAGTACAATCATCTTAGTATAAGAGATTGACGGCCAAAAGTTATGGAAAGCCTGAAATAAAAGACTGAACGCTGAGGGTTGGAAGGGAACACATGAGTTGAAGTTCTACAGCTCTCGAGGAAGTCAGAAATTAAAAAAAAAAAAAAACATCAGCTTTGAAGTGTTTGAAGTGAGGGGAAGGAAGGGAAATTTTCCATTATAGAGCAAGTTGAGTTGCTAAAGAGCTACCAATACCCAAGCAGGTACTAAGTCATGCTGCTGTCCTTACAGTGGCCTTGCCAGGCCGTGCTCATCCACATTACCTGATGGCTGTACAAGTTCATGATAGACAATGATGTCTTGGGCATCATTAAGGTTGTTAACGAGAGTGGCCAGCTCTGATCCAGTGAATTTATTGGCCCCATAGACTGCTTCATTTTCCCCATCGATCCAGTAGACACGATCCTAAAACAGAACACCCAAACGAGTATGTGTAGTACCTGGGATTAACACAAGTCATTATCTGAAGTCATCATCATTTACTTGCAATTTAATGGACCAAATTTATTGAACACTGGTCTGGGACACTGGATGTCCCAGACTATAAAAGATGCAAGTTGAGGTTTCTTAAAGTGCCGTAAGAAATCAGCATAGAATTTGTCCCATGTTGTAAGTGTCCAACCCCCTCTTCTCGCGTGCCTGTTCTTTCTCCCCCAGGAAGCTACAGTAACTCAGAGGTACACACTTAGACACGAGGCACACATCTCACCTCAAATATCGTTAGTGCGAGAGGATGAGCTAGGAACTCCAGAGACTTGAGGACAATCCTACGATCTTGGCCATTCAAGTCCACGCTGGACAACATGTGCAGCTTGGAGTCGAGCCAATAGAGACGGCTCTTTATAAGGTCTGGGGAAGAAAAGAATTGTCAAGGCACGATAAGCTGTCACGGCTCTGGCTCCCATTGAAAATATCCAAAAAGTCCAACATTCTACACTCATGGGTTCCTTCCCCAGCCCAGATTCGTAAGGGGGTCCCACAAACCTTGTGAAGCAGCTGGCAGATTCTGTACACATATTCATTCTGGGAGACTAAGGGAGTGCCTAAGGTTCTCCAAGGAGCTTCCTTGAGAAATGTTACATTATATAGAAGTATTAAGCTAGCGTGTTGTTCTGCCCCTACGGGATGAGAGTTTCCAAGGCCCAAGTTCAGGCTTCCCTGAATTCCTGTCACCTATTGGGTCCAAATGGACATAAAAGCTAGCGGTGGTGCAGCAAGTAATTTGTTAAGTCCACTGTCCCACTTGAATTGCTCAGTTACTCTCTTCCAAAAGTCCTGCTACAAAGGGAACCATAGAGAACTGTCTGCCATAGTGCAGAAAAAACTGTAGAGAGAAGCGAAAACTGCAGAACTGGCGGTCAAGGAAGGAAGAACATACGTACCAAGGGTAATTCCATTAGGCCATTGGATGTCCACTGTCACCAGAGGCCGTCTATCAAATCCATTCATGCCCGCTTTTTCTATTTTAGCGGGTTCTCCCCAGTCTGACCAGTAAACAAAGCTGGGAAGAGTCAAATGAGATTAGCCTCAGCGGTGTGGAAGGCATAAACTCGTAGTTTGCGACACACATTTAAAGAATGAATAGAAAACTCGAGAGACGATCAGTGACAATTCAGGGTCTAAATTATGTTCTGGGGAAACAAAAGTGAACACTGAGAAATCTACAAGCCCATTATGGACTATATTAATCTATATAAGTGTGGTACTTATATTTCAACCCCAAGTCACAGGTTAGGTCTTTCTTTTCCAAAAGGCCAATTCTTTCAGAGGACCCAAAAACAAATACATGCTAAGTTTTAGGGTAGGGGCTGGCTGATTATGTTCTAGTGAGGATTCATGGGGGTCAACAGTGGGTACTACAGGCTCAGTCAACTTCCCCAGCTGCTTCCCTATATTATTTAGTGGCAATTTAGGGAGATGTCTCTGTGAAGTGTTGCTAGACAGGTCCATTTATTTCCCCCGGACTCTCAGACAACTTGGACATGTAGATGAAAGCTTTGAGGTATTGTGGTTACCACAATCCCCCGACTCGTGCTGGTACTTGGGTTTGCTCATTGGGAGCTAACGTAACAAAGAATTCAGACAAAAATTAAAAATCACTCGGAAAGAAGGTGGGTGGCCACAAGGGCTCAGGTACAGCTTTTGGTGCATGTCACAGCAGACCTGTCATTTCATTAATGTCAAGCAGTGGTCATACAGCCAGGGAGGGCCTGTGGTACAGTCCACCATGGCATCGCTGACATCTTGAACTGGATAATTGTTTGTTGTGGGGAGCTGAGTCTACGGCCACACCACCCTGAACGTGCCCTACCTCGTCTGTTGTGGAGAGCTGATAAGTCTTGGGATTTCAGTACTATTTCAGCCACGGGGATAGCTCCTGGCATACACAGATAACATCCAAAAGGCTGTAAGATGAAAAGCAGACTACAAACCCAGACAGTGGGTCCACAGCTATGGAGGCAGGCTCCCGCAAGTCAGAGTTAAACAGGAACTTCCTCTTGGCTCCATCTAGGGTAGCTACTGAAATAGTCTTAGAAGCCGCATCCGTCCAGTAGATGGTCTTGTACACCCAATCAACAGCAATGGCTGCAGGATTATAGACATTGTCGATCATTTTAACATGTCTACCAACCTTGTCATCAATTGAGGCACTGAAACAGAATAGGTCACAAGAAATTTAAGAGTTTGACACCATCAGAGCCTGGAGAATGGACTTTCTGTTTACAAAATGGTCAACAGCTTTGTTCAGAAGAAACTCTAGTAACACCACAGCTCACCACTCAGATTATTTCACTATGCCTCTTACTGGTCCTACACAATACTGTCCATTATTTAGTTGCTGTTACGTATTCGATATGCAAGAATGACCCATTTCTAAGTGAAGCTATTTGTTTCAGGAACCATCGTCTGCGTTTCCATAGTTGCGGTTAAGAAAAAGCTGTCACTACCATTTCTAGCTTATAGCAGCTATGAACAATTGTCAGTTAACTAGAGAGAAAGGGGTGAAAATAGGAAAAGTTAAGATGTGCTTTGTGATAATCCTATAGCTATAGCCACCTTGTACTTGACAGATGATTTAGTTTCTAAGGAGGAACTGATAGTCATATAATAGTTGGAGAATCAATCAGCGTTCAGATTTAAGAGTCCCAGCTCATTAGATACTAGGTTGGAGCTACAAATTCCTCCAAACCTTCCCAAAGACCAAGTGACAAGGATTTGATGTCGAGACACCATGCACAGAACTGAAGTTACCTGAAGATGGCCTTTTGGCTTAGATCAGCCCAGAACAGCTTCTGAGCAGCGATATCCACATCCAGAGCCACTGTGTTTCTTAGCTGTTCAACTAGTTGGATGTATTCTTTCCTCTCCAAGCCAATCTTCCGGATGTCTCTTCGATTAGTGAAGATCAGACTTGGTTCTTTGCCTGCGAGAGAGGAGTCAGGTTTATTTGGTTTTGCTGTAAGAAGGCAAGGTCCTTCTGAGTCAGCTCCTCCTGGAGGAGGAGCACTTGTAAAGTAAGGGCAATGCTAAACACCTGAGGAATATTCTTGCTGCACTCCGTGTTCCCTGGGACTGCAAGTACTTCCCACCATCGAAAAAGGCCGTCCTGGGGTCACAGCACTCAATGGGAGGGTGGCTGATGGGTAAGTTACTTACTGGGATTGCGCTCAAGTCTGGGAAGCAGAGAGTAAGCAAACCTGGGAGGTGTTCAGGGTGTCAGACGCAAAAGAAACTGACTAAGGCAGGTGTCTGGGGAAACGATCGTCTGTTTAACCTATGATACTGCACTGTGAGTCAGTAGCACGGTTCCCAAGTACAGATAGTCCCCAACTTAGGACTTTTTAACCTTACGATGGTACAAAAGGGGTTTGGTTTCTGTAGAAACCACACTTTGAATTCAGAGTTTGGATCTTTTCTCGGGGCCAGGGAGAGGTGCTACCAACCTCTCTTGGGATGTTTTCTCATGATACTGCGCAGGAGCTCGGGGTCAGCCCCGCGATTACACGAGTGACCAACCGATCCACCAACGCCCATCTGTACCCATAAAACCATTCTGCTTTTTACTTTGAGTACGGTACTCAATACGTGACAGGAGCTACTCGATACTTGATGATAATACAGGCTTTGTGTTAGATGATGTTGCCTAACAATAGGCTAATGTAAGCGTTCAGAGCACATTTACGGTGGGCTTGGCGAAGCCACGCGACTTGGCAGGTTAGGTATGTTAAATGCATTTTCGACTTAGGATATTTTCAGCCTACAACGGGTTTATTGGATTGTGACGTCATCGTAAGTCAAGGAAGAGCTGCACTGTTTTAATTCCATATTGAGTTGACTCTTGGAGTCACTGGCTGTAGCTTTCGTAAGCACTTGCTCCTAAGGTACCAGAGCAACACGAACCCAAGTCCATTTACCTACTGCCTTGCACACGCCAGTGGCAAGATCCATCTGATATCCTCGACTACATTCACACTTGTAACCGCCTTTTAGGTTGATACAAATTTGGCTGCAGATTCCCGGGTTTTGGCATTCGTCAATGTCTAGGAGGGAAATTAGAATCAGTCTTGCTGTGCCTAGATGATACAGAGATACACAGTCTTTTCCAAGCCCCCCCCCCGACCGCCACCCCCCCTGACCCCGGCCAGGGCTCAGGCTCCCTCCCTGACTCACCTCCACAGATTTTCTTATCTATCAGTTCAAACCCAGCTGCACAGTCACACGCGTACCCTATAACAAGGTCCTTGCAGATGTGTGAACAGCCACCGTTATTAACCAGGCATTCATTGACATCTGAAAAAGGGACTGGAGTTACTCAGCACCTTACTCCAAATTGGTGTCTGCCCTGATGAACATTCAACCTTGGGGCTTTGTGATAAGGTATCTAGTTTGTCTGGCCCAACCCATGATTTTCTTCCTCAGATCTAATAATCTGTCTTCAAGGTATGCATCTCGGAGGGTTTCAGGGGATAGAAAACCCGTCTCCTTGGCAAGTTACTAGTTGGCTAAGTAGTACTTAGTCAATTTCCCTATTGTTGATCTGTCATTTATAAGGAGGTAAGACTGTGTACCAGTTTGTCACTGCTTCGACTTCTAAGGCATAAAAATGCCACTCTGAAGCCCAACCACTGAAGTCGGTTCACTACAAGTGGTTTAAGCAGGCACTGTACGGGTCTGTGTGGCATTAACTGTGGGCCAGGTCATTGGCCTTCCCCACCCTGTACTCAGGCCACTGGGGTCCACTTACGACATTCTTTGAGGGGCTCGTCACTCCAGTCCCTGCAGTCCTGCTCCTGGTTACATACTTTACTGATATCTATGCATTCCCCGCTTCTGCACTTGAACTTGCCAGGGCCCAAGCACTGATTGACTACAGAGAGAAACACAAAAGTGAGATTCCATGGTGGGGCCGCTCAGAGCAATCCTGCGACTCACCCCCAGGACGCGAGACCCTTACCGTTTTTGCAGTTGACTTCATCAGAGCCGTCCACGCAGTCTCGGATACCATTGCACTGCCTGCTGCCGTGGATGCAGCTTCCGTCCTCACACTCAAACTGGTCAGGGCGGCAGGTTCGCGAAGCTGCAGGGCGGGGGGAGGCAAGACCATGGGATGGTCAGCCAAGCCGTCCCAGCCGAGGCATGGGGGAGGAGGGGGAGGAGGGGGAGGAGGGAACAGGCCCTACTGATAAGAAGGCTACGTACGACAGTTGACCTCGTCGCTGCCGTCTTTGCAGTCGGGGTCCCCATCACACCGCCACTTCTTGTGGATGCACTCGCCCGAGCCGCACTGCGTCTCGCTGGCGGGGCACTTGGTGTGCATCCGCGGCTGGCGGCCGCACTGCTCCAGGGACTCGTCGGACTGGTCGGAGCAGTCGGCGTCGTCGTCACACACCCAGCTGAGGGGGATGCACGAGGACGTGCTGCACTGGAACTCGTGGGCGCCGCACGTCGGGGGCGCGCAGTCCAGCTCGTCGCTGCCGTCGCTGCAGTCATCCTGGGCGTTGCACACGAAATTCCTGGAGATGCAGCGGCCGCTGGAGCACGTGAACTCATCGGGGCCACACGTGATGTTGCCTGCGGAGAGACAGTGGGCTCCGCTGAGCACGTGTCCCGCAAGTGCTTTCCAGACTCTGGTCCCACAGTGTGGCATGCGGGATCTCAGATCACGAGCCCTAGCTTTCCAGCTTCACTAAAAAGCTAATGTGGATCTCTATCAATATCCAAATTCGTGGAGTATCTAGCAAGCCGTCCCGGTATGTACAAGAGGCAGGGACTCTTGGATACGAACAGAAATAAAGGACCAAGAAAAGAGTTGAAGACTCTTAAGTTAACTGGAGAGGAGAACCACAATCTATTGGTAACTTAAAGCGACGGATAACTTGAACGAGAAAGGGGCAGTTCACTCTGAAAGGCAAAGACTCAGTTATCTCTCAATGGAGAGACCACGGATCGGATGGTTAGCTAAAACTATTGTGTACCAGGTACACAGGCAAGACACTCGCAATAAGCATTATGACACTGTCACCAAAAAGAAGTCATCATGTTATACTACCACACATGGTTCCTTCTCTGCTGGTCCTTCACATGAGGATCCGGAATCACGGGTCTTAAATATTTTCAAGTGTTAGAAAGTCATTGCTAGGGCTAGAATCTCAATCTAGCAGCCCGCTAGGCTGATAACGATAAGCCAGGCAGACTAGCCAGTTTGTGCTTGGATTCAGATTCCTGCCGAATGAAACAAGGTCACAGTTTGGTGGTAATTAGGGTAGAAACCACGACACTCTTGGGAAGCAAAGTCTAGATTAAAGAGGGAAACTCTGGGCAGCTCCCGGGCTTACCAAGCCATAAAAGCTCCATTCTAAGATTGAACACCAAAACTCACTGGACTAGGTGTGGTGATATTGACCTTGGAAGTCGACTTGTACACACGCAAGATGGACGTTTCGACCGCAAACACCCTCAGCTCACTTACTCTGCTGCATCAGGAGGCCCGTGCCCGTCAGACCTGGGAGGTGCAGCTTTCTGGGCCCTATAAAAGGGCGGTAGCTTGAAAGAGTGCTCAGAGCAGTGTTTGTTCAACCTAGGTATTTTCCCAGGGCCTGGCCTGAGACATGCGGCACTTTATTACACATTTTCCAGGAACAGACACGTGAAAGCATGGGAAACCGAGCTCGTTTTTACAGGCAGGGACCGTGAGAAGAGACAAAAGTACCATCGGTGGGATGGAGTTTTCTTTGGGCACGTGCTGGCAAGATGTGAACGAACGTTTGTGCACCAAGTTACCCTTGGGAAAGGTCGAGCTAGAATCTAGCGTGGGCGTGGGGGGCTACGAAAGGCTGGTATGATGTTCACGTAATTTATTCCAATCAGCAGACCCACTGGAGACCGAGGAATAGGCTTTCTGGCCCTAGTCCCCTCCTCGTTTCATCGAGCCCCAGTGAGGAAGGCCCACGACTTCCTGTCCTGACGGAGACTGGAGCCCAATGCACAATTCTGTGGCTTCACTGAGCTGCTTCTAAACGCTCGTGCCCTGAATGACTTACCTGCTTCTCGCTATCTGCCTAGAAGAAACCCCGAAGCAAGCCGTGGTCAGTTACCATGGGAACGTGTGGCCGAGTTTCAGGGCAGTGAGGAAAGCCAAGGAGTCGAGCAGAGAGTGAGATCACGGAAAAGCGCGTCAACGGAGCTGTTCTCTTCACGCTCCGGGGAGCTTCCCTGCCCACCCTTGAGAAAAGGGGTCTCTGGGATACAAGCCACTCCACACTGGTCTTCTTACCACAGTTCTCTTCATCTTCTCCACTGTCACAATCGTGTTCACCATCACATCTCCAGGACACGGGGATACACTGAGTGGAGCGGGCGCCACAGCTGATTTCATTAATGCGGCATGTTCTCATATCTGTTGACGATATACAGTCTCAAAAGAGCCTCCAAACTCATCAGGGCAAAGCTGCTGTTCCTGTGCTGCCTGTGAGTGGTCACACCTGCACCTCAGCGGCCTGGCCGGCGGATGCGATCGGACCTACCGTGGCGGAAGCCCGGGGCGGCTCGGGAGCCCTGCCAACCTGTGCCACCTGGCAGTGCACCTGAGAGCCTGGACCGTGTTACTCCTTCAGGGTTCCATGGCGCGCTCAGTCCTGGCTTTTGTTTTACTTGGCATGGTTAGGCTTACTGGCCGGCCTGCTCCTTGACCTTTTTTTTTTTTATATCGGGTATCAGATAAGGTCACCCGATGCCAACTTCATTAAAGGCTGGAAGGTCTAACACCTGTGAAGTCTTCCTTTGACTAGATTCCTTTATAGGCTTCTTCACAACCTACTTTAGACTGGCAAAACAGGGACGGCTCCTGCAGGTTGACCTCACCGGGCCATCCTCAGGGCCACGTCTTGGCGGAACCTGTCTTTACCTGTGGGGACTTACCTGCCTTGACCAATGTTCTGATCGCTCCCCTTATTTCTTGCCTAGAAAACTGAGATGGACACGTTTAGCTTCCTTTCTGCTTCACTGTGTTTTGTAAATCCTATTCCAGACCTAAACCTCGCTCCTATTGGGACTGCGTGTTCAGTGCTTTCACAGGTCTCTCCTGCTTTGAAATGAACGCCAAGACATGCTTCACCACGACAGTCAAAGGATCCCAATTTATCTGTCCCAAATCCTCCTCTTCTGTGATGTCACAGACCGTTTCCTGAATATCAGCCCAAGGACACAGATAGACCTTTGAATACCTTTGAGGTTTCTCTTATTTAAGAACAAGGTGTAAGCTTTACCCTACTTCAATAACCTTAGGTAGCAGGTTTGTTAAAAATCACGATGTCCCCCTATATTTAGCCACCGTACCCCATCAGTAATTGATTTTTTTTTTTTCCCAATCGCCTAAACTGTGCATCTAAAAGCTTATCCTTGGCGCAAGTGGTCCCTCATATAGCTCAGCTTCCAGGACCACAGTGCCATCTGCTCGGAGTCCTGATTACCAAACATTTGCAATCTATGCACCTAGTCAAGGAGTTCTTCATCAAATCTGCTGGCTTCCGTCGTAAATATTCAATAGTGAAGCTACCCAAGAGGACGTGAGTCTTGTTAGACTAGGGAGAACATTCTTTAAAGGACACAGATCGAGTGCTCGTGACTCGATTGACCTTGGAGTCAAAGGGCCTACACATCACGGTCGGCAAAGGGAAACTACAACCAAGTTTCAGATGAAACCATACTTGGAGCTCTGAGACACAAACCAGCCTGGAAACGTTAAGGTCCAAAGCAGTCACTCACGGCACTGTTCGGGGCTTTCGTCAGAGCCGTCTTCACAATCGGGATCTCCGTCACACTGCCACCGGCTGGGGACACATTGGCCATTGTTGCAAACAAAGTCCGACTCGGCACATGTCTTCTTCACTACAAAAGTGTATTTGCAGGGTTAAAGTGGAAGTCACCCAAGAGCTTATATTCCCATGGGGGGTAAAAATGAATGCTGGTACGTTGGCTTCTAACAATAAGGCTGAGTCAATTGGCTCTCAACTGACAGCATCCAGGAGAACACTAGAAAAACCTATTTTCACTTTTCCAGAGGAGAAAGGGGCCCACTTGAGAGAGCTGGAGGGGACAGAAGTCACGGTAAGGTTGCTCATTACCTGACAGCTCAGGGATACCTCCTAATGAACTTCTTGCAAGTTTCATATTGTTGAGTGTAAGTCATAGTTTCATGCTTTTATGCATTTCTTCCAAGTCACTCAAATAACCTCCTAAGGTTTAAAAGCCAAACATTCCATCCTATGACTGGATCACAGTACAATTGTTCTAGGGGCTTCTCTAAACAGCCCACGGGTTTAGTGTAGAGTTGGGACACGCTTCAGGACTGAATACTGTCACTCCTACAGGTCTGTTGGGGTGGAGGAACCCGCCCAGGAAGAAACAGAAAAAGCTTAAACAGGAGGACAAAAGAAGTCACATTTAGAGTCCTAGAGACAGACTAACATCGACTGACTGAAAGTCACCGAAGCTGCTGTGGAAGCTACCAGTCTCTTTGAGGCCTAGGGTGAAAGTCGCCTATAACAAGGTATCACGTGTCTGTGAATTCCTACTAGGGCAGGACTTTTCTCCTAGAATTTTGGTGACTCAGGTTGTTGTCCAAATAAGGAAAATCTCAGGAGGAAGGGGACACTGTTAAATACCAGGAAGATCAGCATAAACCTGGACTCTCTTAAACCAGCCGGGTGGCTTGGTCACCTTCTCCACAAGGGAGTCAGAGAGAAAGAGGAATCTCAATAAGCAGCCACACAGGGTGTTCTAGGCTCATCCTTCCCAGGCTATGTTGTTCTTCTCTCATGTGCCTATACTTTCTACCTAAATTTCCAGTTTAAGATCTTCTCAAACGAATATTCTGTACTGGTAAATCAGCATAAACCCCATTAATTTGCTAAAAACTTGAAAGGGACTGCTTCAGGTCCAGGGTTTGAGCTACATACAACTTGCAGGGTGTAGGGGACGCCAAAGTACAGGGCCGTTCTCGTTTCGCCTCAGACACCGTGCGGCAGGGGAAATCGTGACTATGGTCAATTCCGAGAACTCACATTGTGGTGATGAATCATGATGATCTGAAACGGATTATTCATCTCCTTGAATTGTGTAGCCAAGGAAACAAGAAAAGCCACATTGGCTCTTGGATTCGCACCTGTTTGTAAAATCCCTGAAACACTCAAACCCCAGTATTAATGGTGAAGGCCATATCCAGGGCCCATGTGCTCCCGCGCATGTAGGAAGGTGCTAGAACATCCATAGAGCTGCTTGCTGCAATTCAACCTGTGATGGTCCTCAGGAAGAGGAGGCAGGAAATGGCTTTAAGGAGACCACACTGGTTTGAAGACTGATTAAAATGGTACAGGGATGGGCAAGAGGGGAGACCGTGCAAAGTGTGACGGCAAAAGATAAACAGGGACAGACAAATTGCTTGAGTTTGTCTCTCTCCATTCTGAACACAGTCTGGGAGGGTCAAGAAAGGCTGTTGGAATGGGACCTGAAGAGGTGGATAGAGATTCAGGTGTGCCACCGGGAAGGAGGGCTACCTGTTTCCTCCTCGGAGAGCTAAAGTTACTGATTAATCAGATCAGCCCAACACTTGTAAAACAATGAGTTACTGAGACCCACAGAAGCACCTGGCTTCTGGAGTCTCGCCTTCAACTGACTGAAAATGCTGGTCGACACGCTGGAAAGAAACAGCCCTGCTGAAATTGCAACCAAGTTCAGCATCAAGAGGCTGGAGAGGAAGAATACTACAAGGCTTTCTGAGTTTTAAGCATTTCTGCTGCCTTTTTCTTCCGGGGAGGAAGATCTCAAAACAAGCATTCAGAGCTTCCCTGAGCAGGGCTCCCATGTTCCTTCTCTACCTTCAGAACCATGAGGCAGAGACCAATTCTGGCCAAGGATATATTTCATTTTTACCACCTCATGTGATTGTGAGTGATAACTACATCTACCTCCTCAAATCTTCTCAATCTTCCTGGTGTGTGTCTGGAAGTTACTGAGGTGGAGACTATTTTTAGGAAAAGCCAGTGGTGACCCCTAAGAGGCCCCAGGTTAGGTGCTACCAAGTTAGATGGTAAAAGGAGGCTTCTGGAAAGAACAATGAAAGACAAAGAACAATGGGTCTTGCCAAATATACATTTGGGAATGCAGGAAGAATTGTTACTTTGCAAAAGAAGAGTTGCCAAGAGGGAGTCCTTGCAGGGAGATACTTCGTGAAGGATTTATTTCACCTACGTAACCTAGCAGTGGCAAGAACTCCATGTCTTGTAGGATAGACTAAAATCCCAATTTTAGGGTGTAAATAGGGGCATATTTTTTTTTCAACGTTTATTTTTGGGACAGAGAGAGACAGAGCATGAACGGGGAAGGGGCAGAGAGAGAGGGAGACACAGAATCGGAAACAGGCTCCAGGCTCTGAGCCATCAGCCCAGAGCCTGACACGGGGCTCGAACTCACGGACCGCGAGATCGTGACCTGGCTGAAGTCGGACGCTTGACCGACTGTGCCACCCAGGTGCCCCTAAATAGGGGCATATTGATGCCAGGAAGACTCTTGGTCCTGAGACTGGAGATGAGTTTCTTCCCTGAGACTAGAAAGGACTTTCTGTTGCTTCGAAATGAGCTGCTAGTCCCTATTTCGATGTACAAACACCTATGCTATTGCTCGGTGAGCTCAAGCATAAGATCGTCTGCCATGATGCTTAGGCTATGCCATTTTTGTAATGATGCATGAAAAAGCAGAGAAAGGCATAACGAGATGGCAATTGATGCAATCTACATTTGGCTTCTATTTTTCTTGTGTGTTTCTAATTTGTACAGCGGACATGTGTATATAACATCTTTTAAGAGGCAAATGACAGTGTTGTCCCCGGCATTCGTACACAACATCGTTTCAGGATTTTTATACCACAGAACAAAGGGATCAAAAAGCAAACTGGGGCATATATTCAGGGTACCTCCATGCCACCTTGATATGTATTTCTCAGCTGTGGTGGGTCAACATGAGGGTACACAGATTGCATAGGGGCATTTCTCACAATGATCTTTGGATAGATGCTGATCAATGCTTATGATGGTATATCCCCACTTTCCTGGGGAAAGACTGTCTTCCACTCTGCTTAATGCTTTAGAATTATCCGTTGTGGTAGGTAGAGAATTAAAAAAAAAAATCCTTATCATATTCTGTACTGTGATGTATGATCTGCACTGGCCTGTATTTTCTATGCCGGGAGTTTATTAACCTTATAAAACCTTAGGGGATTTCTTACTGCTCGTGGCTTGCTTTATTTTCAGGGGTGGGGATCAGAGCCATTTGAGAATTAAATAAAAGGAAGTCTGTTCCAAGCAAGCTTCTGTCTGTCTCTGCTTCGGGTCCTGGGGTCCCCTCTCCTTGCTTCCTCTACCACATGTTTGCCTGATCTACAAACAGGTCCTGTCATTTGAAAGCACCTCCACTTTATCTTCCACGTCCCACACTCAGGTTGATAGCCCCATGTCAAACATTCAACTATATTCCTCTAGGCCAGGACATATAGACTCTCTGGAGTTTTTATATATTTTTAATATATAAAATATATTAAATGTACTTAAATACTTTTATTATTATATTTTATATATTTAAGTATTTAACATATATGATATATATGAAATATATATTGAATATATTTACATTAACTAAAAATAAAAATAAAATGTATTAAAATATATAATTTTTTTTTAAATTTTTTTTTTCAACATTTATTTATTTTTGGGACAGAGAGAGACAGAGCATGAACGGGGGAGGGGCAGAGAGAGAGGGGGACACAGAATCGGAAACAGGCTCCAGGCTCTGAGCCATCAGCCCAGAGCCTGATGCGGGGCTGGAACTCATGCACCTCGAGATGATGACCTGAGTTGAGATTAAGAGCCAGATTCTTAACTGAGCACCTCAGGCTTGCTTGCTTGCTTGCTTGCTTGCTTGCTTGCTTGCTTATTTATTCATTCATTCATTCATTTATTTATTTATTTATTTAGCTAGCATTCAATCAGTCTAGTTCAGGGCAATTCTTAGCCATGGATCATAGTTTCCGAACCTCAATACATTTAGAAAGAGCGTCACGGTAAGTGCATATGTCCTCGTGGGGAGGCCAGTGATGCTGTCAGGCTCTTTACTTACCACAGTTCTTTTCATCGCTGCCGTCAGCACAGTCTTCGTCCCCATCACATTTCCACAACAACGTGATACAGCGGCCATTTGTGCACTGGAATTGGGATGGTTCACATTTGGCTTTTCTTCCTAAAATCAGGAGGGAGCGCTTAGCTAAGCTGGGATACAAGTGTGGTAATTCAGACATGCAAGTTACCCCAAAACCCGTGGATAGGGTCCTTCTTGGAGGGGCAGCTGCAGACTCGGCAGGTAGAACATTCTAGGGGCCAGGGTGGGGTGGGCACTGGAGCAACGACTGACTGCGACTGAGTTCTTAGCTGGGCACATGCCATCTGGGGAAGACTAGATTTCCCAGCCGGTCTTGCAGTGAGGCATAGCCATGGATGGGGCTAAGGTCTGGCTACTGGAATATCAACAGAAATAGTAAATAGGACTTCTGGGAACTGTCCTCGAGGGGATAGGGATCCTATTTTCCTGCCCATTTTTCCTTTCTGGCTCATGAAAAGTGGCCCTGGTGTCTGCAGTAGTGATCCTGGGCTAATGGAGCCAGACCAAGAAAGAAGGAACCTGGATTGTCCAGAAAACACGGGGAGTGGGGTCGGGCTTCACCTGCCTCTAGCCTTGTTTCCCCTCCTTTAACTCATTCGTGTAGCTATAATCACACCGCCAAATCCTAATCCATTAATAGCATTTCTTGGCCATATTCTATACTGTGATTCACAGAGGATGCCCCTTATTACAAGCAGACTAAGGGAGATTTAGAAGGGGTAGCAAGGAGGGGACAGAATAGAGGTTTAGTACATGGCTCTTCATCTTAGGATCTGAGGTCTAATTAGAAAAAGACAAGCTTACAAAATGGCTCAACGACAAAGATCAAGAAGGTACAGTTGAGAGGTGAGGAGATCCTTTTTAGTGACGGGGGCGGGGAAGGGCGGGTAGAACCGCAGACCTGGGGTCTATTTCTCTGAATCTCCATTTTCCGATGGGTATTTACTTCACACAGTGGTATACACTCATACTTGTAAGTAGAGCGTCTTTTTTTTTTTTTTTTTGCCTGGCATGGGACAGCTAGCATTCAGGTGTTTCCTACCATTATCATGTCTGTCCTTCTGGAGGATGCGATTTCTTTGAGCTCAAAGGCAAGGATCTGGTTGTTTAATGCAAGTGTATACTGCAAAGAGGCGAGAAGACGAGAGGTGCCCCGTGGCTTGTACAGATTACTTAGGGAGGCCTTCCCGGCAGAAAGCCCTCCGATGCCCTGCCACCTTTCAGTGTCTGCAGCTGTGGCGTTGCTGGCCTGAGAGCAGATGGGACAGTGCCAAGCACAGACTAGAACTCTTGTGCTGAGTGCACAATACTCTCCTTGGCCTCCCTGCGTTCGGCTCCTCCCCACTGTCCGGGGGCATTCTAGACCCGCGTGGCTAATTCCCTGGCGGACACGAATTTGGGTCCAAGTCAGCTTTGCCCTATGAATGTACATTCTTAGCTACTAAATGTATCGGTAGCTGTATGGGCCATTCTGTTGTCAAGGGTCTAGCTAAGCGGGGCCCCAGCTACAAAGCAGTGTGGTTTGATGGCATTCCCTACCTGTGTTTCATACTATGTGTTCATTCCACAAGTAGGTTATTGGGGGTAAGATGTCAGGGATTCAGAACGGTAGGTGTTGGGGTGCCTGGGTGGCTCAGTCTGTTAAGCGTCCAACTTTGGCTCAGGTCACGGTCTCAGGATTCGTGGGTTCGAGCCCCGCGTCGGGCTCCGTGCTGACAGCTCGGAGCCTGGAGCCTGCTTCGGGTTCTGTGTTTCCCTCTCTCCCTGCCCCTCCCCTGCTCCTGGTCTGTCTGTCTGTCTGTCTGTCTCTCTCTCTCTCAAAAATAAATAAATATATATTTTTTAAAAAGTTAAAAAAAGAAGGGTAGATGTTGTTGCCAGGAAGTGGTACCTGCTGATTTTTATACCCCTAACCGATTTGGAGTGGCTGCCTCCCCCCCACACCAGGCATATAGTCTCGATAGATTGTGACTGTTCCCAGTGCTGCTCTAGGGGCCACTGGCTTCAGTTCTCTGTCCCCACGACTTCTGAGGGCTATAGGACTGGTCAGGATCTACTTAGAGTACTCTATGTGAAAAGCAGACAAAGAACAGTCAGTCATCAGAGAACATCGATAGAAATATGGCTGGGAAGACCTCAGGTTGCCATGAGGACGCTGTGGAGACGGGAAGGCTCTAAATTTGTTTCTCAAGGTTTTAGTGCCAAAGCTTGTTGAGTCAAAATGAGCCAAAAACTCAGACATGGATATCTACAGCGCCCAAAAGGTAACCGCACAATCAGGCTTGGACGGGGAGAAGAAACATGTCAAACGTCGCTTTTCCGAGGGCGAGGTACCGAAAGATCATGACAGTGAGTTTGGAAGCCACAGAGTACATGGACACCCAAGCTGGCCAGGGATGCGGGACAGGCACGCAGTACAGGAAGGCTGGCGTTGGGTTCACCGGCACCTTTAAGGAGGGTCTCTGAACACAGCTGTAGCCAACAGTCAGTCCTAAGTGATACTAAAATTCCAGCAACGCTGCTTTAAGGGCAGCTCCTGAGCAGACTCCAGACAGACATTAGCCTTTTCTTTTTTAAGTTTGTTTGTTTAAGTTTATTTATTTATTTAGAGAGAGAGAGAGAGAGAGCGCACGTGCGAGTGCACGGGGAGGGGCAGGGAGAGAGGGAGACAGAATCCCAAGCAGGCTCCACGCTGCCTGTGCAGAGCCCCCACGCGGGGCTCGAACTCACGAACTGTGGTACCATGACCTGAGCTGACACCAGGAGTCATAACTGTTTTCTTCGTGTGTATTCCAAGGCCGTAAGACAAACAGAAGTTTACTTTCTACCTTTTGTGATCTCAGATATTTCTACTTCACCCAAGCTTCTGCCCGACTGTCATAAAAGTATGTTTTGCCGGGACACACACAAGATTCTCCATTACCATGGGGGTTAGATGTGGAGACAAGCTATTGACTGTTGCTGCTTGTTTAAAAGGGGAGCAGGGTCGGGGTGGGGGTGGGTAAGGCTGGCTGGCTGCCTTATAAAGGATGCCTTCTTTAAAGAGAGGTGAGCAAAGACCTTAAGTCTTTTTGGCCCTGCCTCAGTTTCTGGTTATCTAAGCACTCACTTGTGAGAGATGCCTCCTGGGCAGGAAGTCCTCCCGGTTCGGTTTAATCCCCTGCCTCGTGCACAGCAACCAGGGCTTTGACACCAGAATCTCGACTGCTGTGACCTCAGCCAGGCTGCAGGGCTGTGGGTCTTCTGTCCAGGTTTCAGAAAGATTCTCCCTCACCCGTTTTGGTGCTCAGCTGGCAATGTGGCCGAACACAGCTCCGGGAGAACCGAAAGCACCAAACAAGTTAAGAAGCTTTTGGTTTCCAAAGCTTTTGGGGGATTACAGGATTGTGGACCTGCAGTCTATTTTCATCCATGACAGTTAAGTCTCAGGTTCAGCATTAGTCTTGCATAAAGCAAACGGGGTGAGCTTGCAATCATCTATACCCAAGGTGCTGTTAATTCTTAGGCTAAGCTAAGGCCGCCGATGCCTCAAAAAATAACCCTGTAAGTAGAGGCTCTAGACATCTGTATCCCCGCGTCTCTTAGCTCAGAAAGGAGAACAGTTGGAGTAAATGTGTTTTTTGGCAGGTTCCTCAAAGCCATGAGGTTTCATGGGAATGCCTTAGCACCAAAAGGGTGGTTGCACCAGGGAGAAAGGCCATGACCGTGGGGAACCTGGTCACGAACCAGGGGAATCCACCTGTTTCCACCGGGAAGGCTTTCTTTTCAACACAGGAGTTTTGTGTTTAAGGATTTAAAAAGGGCTCTTTCTGTTGCTTTAAGACCTCAAACTGTTGGCCTAGATCTGGGTTTTCTTTTAGCTCTGCCACTTAAGAATGAATATCCCTCCCCTTTTGGGTCAGTGGGTAGGAAGTCGCTTGTACGTAGCCACCTATGGACCTAGTCACAGCTGTTTGCGTTATCGTGTCATGAACGAAGGCCCAGGAGTGTCTGTCAAAGGCCAGCTGCCTAATTCTGTCACTCGCACACATGGAATCAGACCCTGCAAACTTAGTTCAAGGCACCCTTGTCCCAGAACCTCGTTTACCTAAAGAGTGAATGCTGCTTCCCAGACAGGTTGGCAATGAACTGGCTCCAAGAAATTCAGAGTTTTAAATGCCTATAGAAGTCGATCTGCTGTTGTCTAACTTTCACCGCGAAGGTTAACAGGGAAGAACAGTATGGAAGCTTCATTGAACTGTACAGATCTCACAGTAAATACAAACCCTCCAACGTGGACTACGCATTTCCCAAGAGGGCTCCGGGCGGCCCTGAGTGCAGAGGGCTTTCTCAGTATCGGGCTCAGGTATGAATTTGAACCTGCACCAAGGGGCTCAGGCTGTCACTGTGCTGGGACCAGCAGGGCCAAGCATTCAGATGTCTCTTTTTCTCTCTCTCATCGCTGGAGCACACGGGTGTTATCTACAGGAATTTCTTGAGTCCATTTGTTTTGCTACTTCTGGGGCCACCGAGGGCATTTATTTTTAGTCCCGCTCACTTTCGCTGCTACTTTAATGCCAATCTTTCTATTTACAGGCTAAAACTCCTCTCAGGACAAGCTGACTTCTGAGTCAGCAAAGCAGTTTTCTCTCTCGGGAGAGGAGGCTAGTTAGTGACAGGAAGTCAGGAAAACAGCCTGAGTGTCAGGCACAAATGTTGTGTCCCTGCCCTCGAGTCAGCCTCTAAAGCACTTGCCATAACCAGCGAAAAACTGTTAAATACGTAGGTTAATCCTTCTCATTCACTGAAACAAGTGAATCTTACAGTCCCACCAACTGTGTTTCCATTGACATTAGATTCAGATAATCTCAGGAACTGTGGGTAAATCATTTTTTAAACATCGTTTGCTAAATGCAGCTCTAAGACTTTAGTCTTTTAATTCAGGTAGATTCTGAATGGTATACTTTGAACGTTACGATGCCCCATCTATGTATCAGGAAACCCGTCCACAGAACGGGGGGGGGGGGGGGCAGGTACAGCCCTTGGGTGGTATGAGAATTTGAACCCGGGCATTCTGTCTCCAGACACTGAGCATGCCCACA